TGAATGTGATGGACACATACACATACCTCTTCCAAAATCTGCTCAAAAGTTACGCCAACCTCTGTTACCAACTCTTGAGGAACCTGATTGCCATCCATATCAAACAGAGCATAGCTACAGAAACGAAGAATTACAACATGAGTTTTAAGGTGTCAAACAGAAATAAAAACTCATACAGGATAAAGATAACAAAATCAGAACATCCAAACTGTAGTACACACCTCTCAAGATCATGATCATACAAGACAGAATTGTCACCGCTAGTACGATACAAGGGCAATCCCAGTCTCCCAATTACTGGTGCCAGAGGATTCTCTTTGCACACTCCGTGCAGCCTGTGACAAAAAAAAATGTTGCCATGTTAACAAAGATAACCAAAAACTAAAACACCAACCAATTGACAAGATCAAAAGACTTATATGACATTACCATGAAGCACCAAGATCAACTGGAAAACCAAATGAGTAATCAGTGTGAACTCGTCCACCAATTCTGTCACGAGACTCCAGTACCATAACCTAAATGCAAAAGAACCACACCATGAGAAAGAGATGATGGTCACTCTACAAAGCTGCGATACAGTTCTCAAGGAGGTCATAAGAACATCAAAACAATTCCCATATAAAACATCAAACTTGTTGTAATAGAAAACCTGAAAGGAAGCATCTTGAAGAGTTCGAGCAGCAGAGATTCCACCAAAACCACCTCCAATCACAATCACAGACGGTGACCTTGTCTTCATCCTCTCACTAGCTGAAAAGCAATTAGCTGCAACACCGACAATTTTTAACAGAACGAAAACTTGTGACAATTGTAATTAAATCTCTGCTTTTTAAAAGTTTTTATGTATCGAAGGAAACATATTCCTATTAGAGATTTGATGTAACACCTAATCATCGATAAAAGATGCCCACAAAATAACGAAATTAAACTTGTGGCAATCAGCAAATACAGCCAAAGAAGAAGACGCCACACAAAGGAATCAAATCACCGACAGAGAAAACAAGCACGAGGAGGGTAAGCAAAATTGACGACCCACAAAACAAAAATTGAATTTTGCTAACTAAATCAAATTGCCCAAATTCATAATCCCTAAAATTCTTCTAACACAATCAACGATTACAATCGGACAATCAATTTC